CTGGGAAAGATTCCCTCTGAGCTAACATCTGTTGCCAATCTTCCTCTCTTTCTTTTTTTTCCCTCCCCAAAGCCCTGGTACATAGTTGTCTATTCTAGTTGTAAGTTCTTCTAGTTCTATGTGAGCCACTGCCACAGCGTGGCTACTGACAGATGAGTGGTGTGGTTCTGCAACCAGAACCGAACCCTAGCTTCTGCGACCAGAACCGAACCCTAGCCACTGAAGCAAGGTGCACTGAACTTCAACCGCTAGGCCATCAGGGCTAGCTCAGGACAAATATTTTGAAGCCATCATATGTGCATTTCATGTGCATGAGAATAATACAGTTGCAAACTTCAATAATAGTTAAATCTTGGTTAATTAATTGTGGATTATCTATTACCATCTTTTTTAACTTTGGTCCCAACTTAACTTTGGCCTACCCTCTCCAACTGTCCTAGTGACAAATTCATTAGCTAGGATAAAATTAACATGAAGTTCGGTCTAAATGAAAACAAATTAGGAAAATAAAGCTATGAAGGGACTTTATCAAGCATTCCAAAACCAACTAGAAATTACTTGTAGTTTTCTAATAAGTATTACACTACAGGATTATAAACTGCTCTATTAGTAGTATTCAGGTAGGATTGAGGATCAAATCCCGAAGTGCATGTCTATACCAGCCGGCAAAAGAGGAGCAATTATCAAGCGAATTTCATCAATGCAAAGAACTAATTTAGATAACTGATAGCATCTAGTGACTTCCTGTTTTGGTGGAAGGTTGAAAGTGAAAGGGAACTCATTTAAGACATGACAGTTAAGTGAATAAATAATTCTCTTCTAGGAAACCATTATTATTTAGTTCTCTGAAAAAGTTTTAAATTTATTAATGATTAGAAGATCAAATCTTAAAGAGGTGCAATTTTAAATATAACAAAGGCAAAACTCTTTTTCTATAAATAAAACCATATACACTACAGACAGATACAAAATACAGGAAAAAAAACATTTTCTTTTGTCCTTGTTTACAATGTGTGCATAATACAAACATAACTTGAAAGATATAGAAATATCCTATTACATTTAAGGAAAAAAAGAGTAGTTTCAAAATGCTTAAGATGAGGAGAAAAATGCCTCAAAGTAGTAGGTTTTTAAAAGTGTGGAATACAAATCCATAAAAGAATCTTTTTTTTATAACCAACAACTTTAGTCCCAAAGAACACACAGTTGTTCTTTTAAGAAATGGGTCTTCTTGAATTATAAACTTTAACACCATTTTGCATCGAAGATCGAGAATATTTAGTGAGTAATGCACCTATGGTTTGCTTCTCTCCACACAAATCTCTGTGGGAACAATAAAAAAAATAAATAAACAGCATGAATATTTTAGAGAACATAACATAATATTCAGAGTACTAGTTATTTATATCTCTCTCCCCTAAATCCATCTTCCCAAGCTTAAGGGTGTCTGTTTATGGGGGAGAGAGAGTAGGGAGCGGTTACCAAGCCTTAATTGAAGTAGGCAGATTACATGTATTATCTCATTTAACCTTCACAATAACAGTAGGAGTAATGTATTATTTAACCCCATATTAGATATGGGGAAACTGAGGCTCAGGTAGTAAAGGATAGAGCCAAATTTCGCAGCCAGGTTTGTATGACTTCAAAGTCCATATTTTTTCCATTATATTACACAGCCTCCAAATGAGAAATACAAGCAATGCCATACAGTAGGTCTAGACTCAGAGAACCTGCATAGGCTACCTGTGTGAGCTTGTCTAGGATACCTCCCCTCCCTGAACTTTAGCTTCCTCTTCTGTACCCCAAAGAAGAAAAGACTATGACTGGAACATAATTAGCAGAGGGAAGAATAGAAGGTCGTGAGCTGGAGAAGGGAGCAAGGGTGAGATCACATAGGTCCTTGAAGAAGATGGAAAGGAGTTGTGATTTAATTCTAAGTATAATGGGAAGCCACTAGGAGGGTTTTAATTAATGGAAAAGCATGATGTGATCTAAGTTTTAAATAATAGAGGCAATGAGTTGATGTTTATGGAAGCTTGGTGGTGAGTACATGGAGAGTTCATTATATTATATTGTCACTTTTGAATGTTTAAAATTTTCCAAAATAAAAAGTTTAGAAAGGAGGAGTGGGGAAAGCGTCAAAAACAGAAATAGAGAGACCAATTAGAGGCAGGTACGAGAGGAGCCATCAGGGTTTGCTCGTAGTTTGAACCAGGGGGTAAAAGAAGGAAAGGACAAGGATGATTCCTAGACTTTTTGCTTAAGTAAATGGATTAATGGTAGTGCTGTTAACTGAGATGAGGAAAATGGGGTTAGGACAGGGGGAACCAACAGTTCTGCTATGAGCATGTCAGGTCTGAAATTCCTATTAGATACCCAAGTGGAAATGTTAATTAGGCAGATAGATGTAAGAATCTCGAGCTCAGGGAAAAGGTCAAGTATGAAGATAAAATTAGGAAGTCACTAAATTTAAATCCAGGCCTAGATGAGGGCACCAAGGGAAAAAATATAAACAGAAGAGAAGATGATCAAGAATAGAGTCCTAGAATACTCTGACATTTAAAGACGGGCAAGAAGAGGGAGACAGCAGCAAAAGAGACAGTAAAGGAGCTGCCTTGGGGGAGAGGGGAGAAAACCCATGTGTTTCCAATAGGAAGTGGTCCACTGTGTCACTTAGTGCTAAGAGGCCAAGTAAGCCAGGACAGACAACTGACCACTGAATGTAAGAAGATGGATCTCCTTAGGTTAAGGAGATGTCTTTGGGTTAAGGAAAGAATGGGAGACAAAGAAGCAGAAAGTAAGTACACAAACTTTTAACAGGAGTTTTCTTGTGAAGGAGAGCAGAGGACATGGGGTCCAGGTGGTGGTTGTCGTTTTTTTAAGATAAGCAGTACTACAGAATAGCGTGTGTTGATGGAATAATCTAGTAGATAGGGAGACGATAACATGAGGGAGACGGGGATAACTGGAGGACACAAGTCTTGAACAAGGTTAGAGGGCATGTACCAAGCGCAGAAGGAGGATTGGCCTTAGGAACAAGGACGGTTCATGCATTATACAGGAGGGACTGCAAAGGAGGCATGTGCAGACACAAGGAGGCTGGCAGATTTGGCAATGGGAAAAAAGTTGTTCTTGTCTTTTCCTGTCTGCTTCTGTTTTCTCAAAAAACAAGGTCATAAGCTGAAGGTTAAGAGGAAGCAGGAGCACTGATGGTATGAAAGGCGAAAAGAAGGTGTAAAGTGAGCTCCAAGGGCAGAAAAGTTTCATGAGGAAATGATGCTTTACCAGGGACCCTGCTAAATTCTTACATTCTTAAACTTAAGACCACTTACATTCTTAAGTGAAACTGGCAAGCCCCACTGTGTATTTTTCTCTAAGAAATTTCAGCTGCCCAAGTGTAGGCATAGAGTAAGCAGAAAGTTGGGTTTAATCTTTGTAGATTTTTGCCAGAGGGTATGACAAGAGGGAGAGAGGGCCAAGGGAGTAAAGCACGCCCAGTAGAAGTAGGAGGGACTGACCAGGGAATCCAATCTGGCTAAAGTAAAGAGAGAGGACTTGAGAGGTGAGACCCAGTGAAGAGGTGGCAGTGTTGGTGGATTTGAAGTCCCATAAATAGTGACTTCAGAGCTAATCTGTTCTTCTGCAATCTGGCATCTACCAAAATGTTCAAATAAGGCAGCAAGAAGCGCCGGCCCAGTGGCATAGTGGTTAAGTTTGCACACTCTGCTTTGGTGGCCCGGGGTTCACGCATTTGCATCCCGGGCACGGACCTACACACCGCTCATCAAGCCATTCTGTGGCGGCGTCTCATGTACAAAGCAGAGGAGGACTGGCACAGATGTTGGCTCAGGGACCATCTTCCTCAAGCAAAAAGAGGAAGGTTGGCGACAGATGTTAGCTCAGGGCCAATCTTCTTCACAAAAAAAAAAATAATAATAAAATAAGGCAGCAGGAAAGATAGAAGGTAGCAATCAAAGAGGGGTGCTTGCCTTAGAGTTATATTGGGGTATGCAGTCTGACTGTCCCTCTCACAGCTGCAGTTTTGCAAGGAAGGGAGCAGAGAAGTGGTTTTAGAAGCAGTAGTAAGGAAGACAGATAACACATACGCCACCTCCAGAATCAGTAGTTGTGGAGAATGATAGAGAAGACAGCCACCACTGTCTTGAGCAAGTTTCAAAAGAAGCACTGTCCCGGGGCTGGCCCTGTTGCTTATTGGTTAAGTGTGCGCATTCCGCTACTGGCGGCCTGGGTTAGGATCCTGGGCGCCCACCAACGCACCGCTTGTCAGGCCATGCTGGGGCGGCGTCCCACATATAGCAACTGGAAGGCTGTGCAGCTATGACATGCAACTATCTACTGGGGCTTTGGGGAGAAAAAGGGGGAAAAAAAGGAGGAGGATTGGCAATAGATGTTAGCTCAGGGCCGGTCTTCCTCAACAAAAAGAGGATGATTGGCATGCATGTTAGCTCAGGGCTGATCTTCCTCACAAAAAAAAAAAAAAAAAAAGCACTGTCCTCAGGGAATACTCAAAAAAAATGGTGTTCTAATAATAAATCTAAAACCCTATGAGACTCTTTATAAAAAGAACAACCCTCAAAATCCATTTTTAATAAATTACTTACTGAATATATGGAGCAATATCTTCTTCTGTCCACTTCTCCCTTAGAGAGAATAGACTATTAAAACGGTCCTGATTATCCTCAGGTAAATCATCTACTTTTAGCAAAAATATGATTTCTGGTCTTGAGTGTCTATCCACCAAGGCTAAACCCTATAAGAAATGAGAAGAGAAAGGGCAGTTAAAGTCACTGTCTAATGTTTAAATATGATTCATTCTTTTACCTTTAGGTTTAGCTTAGCCTAAGGCATTTCAAATGTCAGCTACACGAAACTTAACACAAACTACCCAGAGACTTACAAAAGCCTTTTTCATAAAAAGAGCTCCTTTAAGCAGGGACTGCTTTTCCCTTCTGCAATCTGGCTTTTACCACCACCAGTTTATCAGGATCGCTCTAGTTGAAAGGTCCCCAATGACCTGTCATTGCCAAATCCAGTGGGCCCTTTTCTTGGATTCATCTCACTAGTCCTGTTTTCTTTGTTAATGTTAATTACTCCTTCCTCTTTCTCATCACTGTCTCATCATTTTCCTAACTTGATATTGCAGGTCCCTTGGGCCTCTAACCCAATCCCTCTACTTGTTTCACCATCACTGTCCAGATAACATCATCTAAACTTGTGACTTCAACCACCTCTTACTTGCTAATGACTGTAATAGTTATATCTCTGACTCAAACCTCTCTTCTGAGCACCAGATCTCTATATCCAAAGCTACTTATGAACTCATTGTGTTTGTCAACCAAACTTGTTCTAGTCCCACTATCCTAGGAAACCAGAAAACCTATGCATCATCCCAGATTCCCTTATTCAAACCCCACACCTAAGCATCACTAAATTCTATAGATTTTAAGGCCTCGAGATTACTCTATCAATTTCCCAGCACCTATTTCTTTGGCAAGTACTCTCTTAGTTAGGAGTATGTAAGCGTTCAGAGCCTGGAGAGTTCTTTTTTTGTAATCTAATCAACCTTCCATCCATCCATCCTCACTACTGTCACACTGCTCTTTCCAAAAGGCAAAACTCATCAGGTATGGGGCTGGCCCAGTGGCATAGTGGTTTGGCGTGCTCCACATCAGCGGCCCAAGGTTTCTGGGTTTGCATCCCAGGCACAGACCTACTCCACTCATCAGCCATGCTGTGGCAGCAACCCACATACAAAATAGAGGAAGATTGGCACAGATGTTAGCTCAAGGCTAATCTTCCTCAAGCAAAAAAAAAAAAAAAGAGGAAAATTGACAACAGATATTAGCTCAGGGCCCATCTTCCTCACCAAAAAAAGAAAAAAAAAAATGCTGAGATCCTAGTGGGTTAAAGAATTACATGTACTCAATATGCAATAAAATTTATTACTTAAAAAAAAAAACTCATCAGGTAGCTCTTCCAACTGATGCCACTAAATGGCCTCCAAGAGCTTTCTAGATAGAGTTCAAATTCCTTAGCACAGTCCACAGGGTCCCTCACTAACTCACCAGCACCCTTCACTCCAGCCATGCATCCCTACTAACAGTGCCCCCATTTTTATACCTCCATGCCTTGAGACATGCTCTCCTGGATTCTCGTCTCTGCCCTTCCATCTAGAGTAATACTTCATTACTTTTCAAACTTGGCAGCTAAAACATCCATTCCTTCAGAAAATCATCCCTGATTCACTAGCCAGATGGATAAGTCCCTTTTCTTTGCTCCCATAACATCTTGCGCATGACTTTCCCATGGCACAGATTGCTCCACATTGTAAGAACAGATTTATACATGTAATGTGCAGCCCCCATTGCCAGTCCTCAGGCTGAGGACCTTCATGGCACCCATGATGTTTTCTCCTCAGCATCTAGCATAGCCCCTAGACATAAAAGGAACTCCGTAAATATTGAGCAAATCCTTTCACTTAACAAATACTTACTGAGCATATACTACATGCCAGGCAGTACGTTAGATATTGGCAAGCAACAGTGAACAAAATTCTATCAAAGTGGAGAGTGGGGAACCACACAAACATTTTTCCAAAGCTAAGTGATAAGTGCCATGAAGGAAAAATACAGGGTGCTATGGAAGAGAAAAACAGGAGGCCTGTTCTTTAGAGTGAAGGCCTCCTTGATGAAGTGACTCAAAGATGGGTCCAGGTGAAATTAAAGATCATTCTAGAACAAAAAGACTTTTGTGAAGATTCTAAGCTAGGAGAGAGCCTGATGATCTTGAAAATCTGAAGAAGGCTGGTATACAACGAGCAGGAGAGGAAGTAGCAAGAAATGAAGCCACAGGGAAGCTCATGAAGGCCCTTGGAGGCCAAGATATGAATTCTGGATTTTATATCTTAAATGCGATGGGCAACCGTTAAAGTGATTTAAGCAAGACATTCATCTAATCTGACTGGCATTTTTAAAAGATCATTCTAGTAGCACCACAGAAAATGGATTGGAGGAGGGCAAAATTAAAAGTTCGGAAGGCCTGCTCAGGGATGCGACTGCTATTCAGAGCCAGGAGATCATGATAGTTTGGACTATGGTGGTGGTGGTGGAAATGGAGAGAAATGGAATGAAATGAGATACCCTGGGTAGGAACCAGGATTAACTGTAAATGAGCCTGAGGGATCTTACTCAGGTGAAAGAAATGTTCTAAAACTAGATTGTAGTGATGGCTGCGTAATTCAGTAAATTTACTAAAAATTCTTTTCAGAAGGGTGAATTTTATGATATGTAAATTATACTTCAATAAAGTGTTGGGGTCTTTTTTAAAGGACTTTGCGATGGACTGAATGTATAGTGTACTCCTCACGGGTGGCTAAGAAAATAAACAGGCTCCAAATTCAGTTCCAATACAAGTTTTACTTCACCTAGTAATTAATGGTAACCTGTTGAGTTATGGTAGCAACTACTGCTATTACCTTCAGCTGATCAAGCCTAGTTATCATTCCTTCAGGAACACTCTGTTGCCATACTTCTTGAAACTCAGCGAGGTTGAATTTCACTGCATTCTGAAGTAGCATTTGTGCTGTCGCTCTGCATATTTTATCAGCATTCAATTCAAAATAAACTTCACCTAAGGGAAAGGTATCAGATAATTTTATATTGTCTTCTTACAACTAAAAACAGTACTAATGTTTCCTTTTCCTCAATGCAATTTCTCAGAAGGAATTACACACAACTTACTTCCCACAACCCCAGGAGTTCTTCTTTTTAACACAAACACACTTCAGAAAGGCATATCAATTTTAACATACAAGAGTTAAAATACCCATTAAAGTACCATCCAAATCTTACCTTCCTCTACGTATTTCTTTCCATAACATTTAAGACAGTGTTCGATCATCTCCCTGAAAAATTTAAAACACTCATTTGAAAAGTTACCACATTTTTATGCATGTTTTAAACACCACTGCTAACTAGAAACTACAACATAAATTTGAGGTTTGAAATACTAAGTGATTTTGGTTGCGAAGTAAACTTTACATCAGGAACTAACTAAAGGGGCCACCCAGGTGGCTTAGCGGTTAAGTTCGCGCGCTCCACTTCGGCGGCCTGGGGTTGGCTTATCAAGCCATGCTGTGGCAGTGTCCCATACAAAGTAGAGGAAGATGGGCACAGATGTTAGCCCAAGGCTAATCTTCCTCAGCAAAAAGAGGAGGATTGGCAACAGATGTTAGCTCAGGGCTAATCTTCCTCACAAAAAGGAAAAAAAAAAGGAACAAACTAAAATATACTGGGAAGCTACTATGTGTCAGGCCCCATGCTAAACATTTTTACATGAATTATGTGAGCATACACTTATTACTATAAAATAGCTGAAACATAATTATTTCTTTATATTTTTTATGGCAGAAAAAAGATGATACACATTTGTTCCCCCAGTAACTAAAATTACCAAGTCCTTCTTGGTTGTATAATTTTAAAATTTCTATAAGATATCAAAATATAAATAGTATATGCCCTGGGTTTAGTTCCACCCCAGAAAATACTTTTCTTCCCCTTAAGGAAATCTAGACAGTGATTAAAATACTTACTCTGGCTCCAATGGTCCAAGTTCCTGAAGGCATGTACTCAAAGGAACTCTACTAAAAGACCAAGATTCAGAATCCACAAGCTGAGTTACATGATTCAGAAGCTTCATCTCATAATCAAATTCAAGAATCCTCCAATAACCTACAAATTCCAAAAGTTGTATTTACCAAAGAACATTTTAAGTAAGTTAACTGGCTAATAGATTGATAAAGCAGCAGCATACTCTTGCCCATTGCAAAACAGAGACAGTGAAAGTGTTAGCTTTCTTTATAAACAATGCTTTTTTTAATGCTTTTCTCCCAATCATTACAAATTGTGTCTTGAGGGAGATCAAGTGGTTTTTAAAGAGTATTTTACATATGACTAACCCTTTGACTTTTTTCAAGTGCTTTAATATTCGATTATCTCATAATAATCTTGTCATTGTAAGTGGAAATGTGGAAACCTGTAGTTGGTACAGTCATTTCAAAATTAGAATGTCATACAAATGAGGTGACGGTCATGCGTTCGACATCCCACATAGTAATCTCTGCTGTGGGGCACTGCCGTGGTTATAGCTCTCATCTCAGCTATCTTGCAGAGGTGTTCTCATGCTCAAAAAGAAGTCCAGCTCATTCAAGAAACAGTAGACTCAGAGGTACGGTGGCAAAATAAAGGCTGGACACCAAGATACCTTTCCCTATTCCCATGAAAGGTTATGAAATCCCATGTTATAATCGAAGGCACTACCACCACCCCTGGAGAAACAAACCAAGTACACATCCACCATTTCCAAGGGAGAATGTTGCTAGCCTTATTCTGAAAAAATAAAAGCAACATTAAAAAATGGAATGTGTGATGTAAAACTGAGAAAGAAAGCTAGGAATAATCTATGCACCACCCCACCCCCACACACCAAAATTTTATCCATCCCCACACAATAAGTGAATAATGCAGAAAGCTGCATTAAAATCCATTGTGTGTATATGTTTTTTTTTAACCTTAACATTCAAAGTGCCCATATACCATACTTATTAGCAGCAGGCATCCATAATTAAAAACTTTATTTCTGATGCTTAGGACCAAATGTGTCTCAAGGAACAACAATAAAGAACTAAGTGCTTCTAGTTTAGTTCTAAAGTCGTCTACAATTGCTTTACTTAGCAGAATTTGCCACATTTGAGAGTTAAGGTCTCACAAAAGCTAATCTTGCTTGGAAGATTGTGAGCAACTTGAATAGTGCGTCTACCAACCCATACCAGTTTCCTCCTTCCTAACACATGGGTGCAGAATGAAGCTGCTTCTCTGGGCAAGCTTAAGAGGGCTGAAAAATGCACACAAACATCTTCTCAAGTATTACTGCAGGCCCAGATGCTGAGAAAAAAGCTCCAACTCTAGACCAGAAGCTAGTCAAAACACTGAAGAAAATACAACTGGGGTTTTTCATCAACGCCTGAGGCCAACACAACTACTATAACTTTTACACAGATTTATTATATAAACTATTTAACATATATTCAAAAACACGTTAAGAGTTATCACAAGAAGAAACACAGTCCCATCTTCCAAGCAATTTGGAAATACAACGAGGTTATTAAATTAATTCTGAATCAGAAGTTCAAGGAGCTGGGTTCTATGCCTTATCCTATCACTAACTCAACATGTAGCCCTGGACAAGTCAGTTTCCCTTCCTAGGCTTTAGTTTCCTCACCTATTAAAAACAATGACGGGATTAGACTATCTAAGACTTTTCTCGATCTAACATGGTTCTTCTATTACCACTTAATCCAAAGAAAAAGGCCTGTAAGGAGTGGTTAAAGTCACTGGTCACAGACTGACCTCCTCAGTAAAGATAATCACATGTAGTCTCTACCCCACACCCAAAAATACAAATATCATCATCCTTGAGCCCAAAAGAAGATTAAATAAACAGTACGCAACAGGGTGAAGATGTCCAAAAACTTCTCTCTCTCTCATATGATGCCCAACTCCATCATTATTAATAATAATAGTAAGTAATGCTACCTCCAATCTCACAGGCATTTAGAACTTGTAACTGGGCCATTATTTCTTCCTCACTTGCCTGAATTTGATCAAGCAAATCTTCAGTTGTGTACTGAAACAAGAAAAAAAAATCATTTTAAGGCCTTTGAAGAATATTTTTTTAGACTTATTGAATTTTGGGGAATAAATATATAGAACAGATTAAGGCAATATTTACACACTAGCTCAATTTCTTTTGTTAATGTGTAATGATTACTACATGAAATCAGTGAATATCTTAGAAGAAAACAAAACACAGGGGTAAATGTTTGTGATGTCAGATTTGGCAATGGTTTCTCAGAAATGACACCAAAAACACAAGCAACAAAAGGAAAAATAGAAAATTGGACTTTATCAAAATGAAAAAAACTTTTCACTTCAAAACATCATGAACACAAAAGGACAAATATTGTATGATTCCACTTATATGGGATATTTACAGTAGTCAAATTCACAGAGAAGGTAGAATAGTGGTTGCCAGAGGCTAGGAGGAAAGGGAGACTGAGGAGTTAGTGTTTAATGTGTACAGAGTTTCAGCTTAGAAAGATGATAAATTCTAAAGATGGATGGGGTTGATGGTTGTAGACAATGTGAATGTACTTACGGCCACATAACTATACAAGTAAAAATGGTTAAAATGGTAAATTTTATGTTATATACATTTACACAATTAAAAAAAAAATCAAGAAAATGAAAAAACAACCCAAAGAATGAGAGAAAATATTTGGATATTATCTAGTTGAGAAGGGACTTGTATTTAGACTATATAATAAACTTTTCTACAATTCAGTAATAAAAACACAACCAATTAAGAATTGGGCAAAGGTGTTCCTGAATAGACATTCTCCAAAGATACATAAATAGTTAACAAGCACATTGGGACTGGCCCGGTGGCGCAAGCGGTTGGGTGCGCGCGCTCCGCTGCGGTGGCCCAGGGTTCGCCCGTTCGGATCCCAGGCGTGCACTGACACACTGCTCATCAGGCCATGCTGTCGCAGCGTCCCATATAAAGTGGAGGAAGATGGGCGTGGATGTTAGCCCAGGGCCAGTCTTCCTCAGCAAAAAGAGGAGGATTGACAGATGTTAGCTCAGGGCCGGTCTTCCTCACACACACACAAAAAAATAGTTAACAAGCACAAGAAAAGATGTTCAACATCATAAGTTATTAGGGAACGCACATCAAAACCACATGATACCACTTCAGACCCACTAGGATGGATATAAACAAGACAGGTAATAAACAAGTGTTGTCAAGGATGTAGAGAAATTGGAACCCCTATACAATGGGAATGTAAAATGGTGTCACCAGTTTGGAAAACAGTCTGGCAGTCCCTCAGAAGGTCATGTAGAGTCACCACAGGACCCATCGATTCCACTCCTAGGTATACACCCAAGAGAAATGAAAACATAGGTCCGCTAGAAACTTATACATGCATGTTCACAGCACTGTTATTCATAATAATCAAAGAGCAGAAACTACCCACATGTCCATCAACTGATGAATGAATGAATAAAATGTGGTATATCCATAAAATGGGATATTTTATTCAGCAATAAAAAGGAATAAACTGATATATGCTACAACATGAATGAACGTTGAAATCATGATGCTAAGTCAAAAAAACAGTCAGCAAAGGCCACATATTATAAGATTCTATTCGTATAAAACGTCCAGAGGAGGCAAATCAATAGAAACAGAAAGTAGATTACTGGTTGCCTAGGGCTGAGGTGGCAGAGAGAAGGCGAGAAAGGTAACAGTTAAAAGGTACAGGATTTCTTTTGGGGAGATGAAAATGTTCTAAACTTCATCATGGTAATGATTGCACAACTCTGTGAATGTACTAAAAACCATTAAAATTATACATTTTGTGTATGTGTAAGGAAGATTGGCCCTGAGCTAACATCTGTTGCCAATCTTCCTCTTTTTGCTTGAGGAAGATTGGCCCTGAGCTAGCATCTGTGCCAATCTTCCTCTATTTTGTATGTGGGATGCTGCCACACCACTCCTAGTGGTGTGTAGGTCCACATCGGGGATCCAAACCCGCAAACCCCAGGCCACTGAAGCAGAGCATATGAGCTTAACCACTACGCCACCAGGCCGCCCCAAATTATACATTTTAAAATGAGTGAATTGTTTGGTATATAAATTATATCTCAATAAAGTTGTTACCAAAAAAAATAAAGGAAATCAATCAGTCAATGGAGAAAAAGAGAACTTTTAATATGAATATGGTCTTTAGAATACCAGTAGAGTTCTATCATTTTGAATTACATTAAAAGCTTCAAAAATTTTTTTTACTTGGTTCATAAATATTTTTTTATTGATGTTTTAATAGTTTATAACATTGTGAAATTTTGGGTTGTACATTTTTGTTTGTCCATCACCATATATATGTCTCCCTTCACCCCTTGTGCCCACCCCCTACCCCCATTCCCCCTGGTAACCACAATACAGTTTTCTCTGTCCATGTGTTGGTTTATATTCCACATATAAGTGAGATCATACAGTGTTTGTCTTTCTCTTTCTAGCTTACTTCACTTAACATAATACCCTCCAGGCCCATCCATGTTGTTGCAAATGGGACGGTTTATAAATATTTTTCCATACTTCCAGGAATTAGTCAGTTCTGTCATTAGAGTAAGAATACTTTCCATTTTCATAATGCCTTTTCTCAAGAGCCCTTAATTATAATTTTTAACTAAATAAAAATTAATTTAATCTCTAAAAAACTATTATTTCATAGTTAGGAACATGAGAAATTTTCAGCTGTACAATCATCACCATGATATCTAGGATGTGCTTTAAAATACTCCAGAAAAATAAAAAAAAAAGGTAGGAGGAAGCCGGGGGACAGGAAAAATGAGATTGACAAAATACTGACAAATGTTCAACTGAGTGATGAATACATACGGGTCTTTCTGTTTTGGGGTATGTTTGATATTTTCACAACATAAAGTTTAAAAAGGAAGAATGTCACCCTTAAGTGCCTCTAATTATAGTTCTCTTTTTAAAATTCAAAATAAAACAATGAAGATAATACTCTTACTTTTGAGTGATTTGAGTCCTTTTCTTTTTGATTGTCAGGTCCTTCGTAGGTATTTTCCATCAAAAGTTTCTTTAGCTTCTTTAATTTAGGTCTACATCTTCTTAATTCCCAATAATTATTAGAAAAACCAAAGATCTAGAAATTATAAATATATCATAACCTTTTAGGGGCCATTCTAAAAGAAAATTTCATACAAAATTTCAACCAACCATCTGCCCTCAACAAGAAGCAAGAAAACGGAGCCAAGGTATCCTACTTTCTATTGAGAAGGCACTCATCCAGCCATGTCAAGCAGATGGATGAGTATCTTCAGGAAACACTTTTTCAAACCCCAATTAAGAAGACATTGTCAACATAGTGAGAACCGATAATTGAGCTCCATATCTCAAGCGTACTCTGGAAACTAGAGTATGCCCAAAAAAGAATAACCAAGATAGTGACAATTCTACAAACCAGGTGGAAACAACAGAAAATGAATATTTTTAGACTGAAAAACAGAAAATAAGGAAGAGACATTATCACAGTCTTCAAATAACGAAGGGATGTTAAAGGGAAGAGAGGTTCCCTTGTGTGTTGCTCATGATGTCAAAATTAAGAAGCTAAGGAAAAGAGACTTCTATTCAGTGCAAGAACTCCCTGCTGTTCAGAACTGCAGCTAATTCCTTATTGGACTTGTGAAACAGGGAGAGGCCTCGCACTCATTTAGCCACTAAATGATGGATAAATTTCTGTTATCCCTCTGTATCTCCAGGACTTGTTCAGTGTCTAGCTCTTAGCAGGTTCCCAATAAGTGTTTCACAGGAAAGAAAGAAAAAAGGCTGAACTGGATTATTTCTGGGGTGGTCAGGGTCTCAAACTAGTATAAGGCTTGATTGACAAGACAAGGCCCAGAGCCTGATGGAGATGCTTCTGAACCTAAGGTCTTCAAAAGGGGAGCTTAAGGACCAAACCAGAAAGATTGACTTCATCCATAGTTCACGAACTGGCAGCCTGCTGGCTGTATCCAACACACAGATGTTGGTGTGAGCTTTTGTGTTGTGGGGAAGGGAGGTTTAGTATAGAGTTTAAATTATGTGTAAGCACTGAAAAATTAGGAGATTATGCCACCAAAATCTAAATTTCAAGCTTTACTTGGAAAAAAAAAATCAGAAGATCTCGGCAATGCTGGGCCTGCTTTCGCATATGGCCAAGTAGTGGCCACCCACCTACCTGGGGCCTGTGCTCTCCAATTTGCCATAGATCCCACCATTTCCTATTACTCCTGAGACTGGGTATACACTACCATTTATCAATGCCAGCCTGCTTTGCTGATGTGCATTCCTTACCTAGCCCTTTTAGGCATGTGAAGTGCAACCACAGATTAAAACTTTGGTTAGTAGATCTGTGTTAAGTTTTATTCAGTCTTGGTACACAAAATTCTCATAAGGAGAGCTCAAAGGTACTCACAGATGTTGTTATACCCTCACAAAAACACCTACAAAACCGGTACATGATGAAAAAATAATATCTTTTACGAAAGGATCAACTGCCAAAATTTCTAATTAATTACAATGAAAGACATAACTCTACAAAAACCAAAATACAATATTTACTGGAAGTTCTGTTCTAGGAACACCATATGAGTCACTGAAATTTCCCAGTATTTTCCCTTATTTCTATTACAATTCTGTGTTTAAGGAAGTAGTTGATCTGAAGTCATTCTGATAGAATTGAGGGCTGTGCTTTGATTGTTACACCTGTAACAGTCTAGCCAGAATGGAGACTTTTGTTTGGTATTTGCCATCAGTAGGCTCCAAAATAATTAAGAATTTCTTATACATGGCTATAGATAGTAATGAATCAAACCAACTGCAAAGGTGAGAAACACACTTCCCTCAAAAACTAAAATTTCAGGGCCAGCCCAGTGGTGCAAGCAGTTAAGTGTTTGCGCTCTGCTTCGGTGGCCCAGGGTTCCCAGGTTCGGATCCCGGGCGTGCACTGATGCACCACTTGTCAAGCCATGTTGTGGCGGCATCCCATACAAAGTGGAGGACAATGGGCACGGATGTTAGCTCAGGGCCAATCTTCCTCATTAAAAATAAATAAATAAATAAAAAGAGGAGGATTGGCAGCAGATGTTAGCTCAGGGCTGATCTTCCTCATAAAAAGAAAAAAAAAACTAAAATTTCTTCATTTCTCTACCTCAATAAATATTACATAATGCACTAGTTATGGTTTGAGGGAGTCTCCTTTCAAAACATATCCACAACAAAACTTACTAAAAATAAATAAAATTTTTAGAATGAATCACCCCATAGCAAATTTCTATGTTATGGAAAATGGTCCAGTTGTCTGGGACTTAAAAATCAATTTGGGAAAATAAAGACAATTTCACAAGACTCCAACCAAAAAAAAAGTAATTCTGAGAAATTTCAAGCCTCATTAGAGAACTTTTCTGATTCCCTGTGATAATACATTTTATACCTAAAGTTTTTAATTAAAAGCAAGATTAGCATGTGTTGTCATTCTCATATACATCAGGAGACAGAAAATGCTACCTCAGTGTGAATAATGTCGCAGCGTGTTTCTTCCATCTTCAGCTGGTCTGGAGTTTTACAACCGGGAATAAAAAGCAGCATATTGGAAGTATCTGCTATTTTCAAGTCATAGGTTTTGTCTTGACTGCACAGCACAGCCTGCTCATCTTTATCACCACGAATCACAAGACTGCAGGAAAATGAGAAAAGAAAATACATGGTTTATTGAGACACCAAAGGACATCTTCATTACAAACAGTTCCAGAATCCTCTAGGCTTGTACAGTTTGAAATTAAGTCTTGAGGCTGTGTCTGGCCCCTGCTCTCACAACCCTGGCCCAATGATGGGCTCCACAGAGCAAGGACTGGGCCAGTTGAGAGCCAGAGAAGCACCAGGTGGCCTCAATAAGGAAAAATAACTCAACATGAGGAAGAAAGATTCAAAGAGGCCAGGAGGCCAAATGTCACCACATGGCATCTTTGTGCAAACTGCTGGGAAGAGCACAAGACAAAGCATCCAGAAGCTTCAGTCATGATGTCACAATTATCTAAACATGCTGAAGCAGTACTTATCAAATTTATACGTTGGCACCTTAGGGAAACTTGCTAAAAAGCAGATTGGGATTTAGTAGGTCTGGGATGGGACCTAGGATTCTGCATTTCTAACAAGCTCCCAGATGATGACCAAGCTACTAGCTCTGGTACTCACCCAAGAGTGGTCCTTCTTGTTTTGTTCTGAGGATCCCCCAACAATCAGGGAGCATATCCTGGCCTAACCATCAGCTACGTTGCAAAGAAAGTGAGACCTTGTGAAAAGGCTGCAATGCTGAATGAAAAATATGAAAAAGATATGTTTACAAACTAGACTAAGAGAAGACTCTGACAAAGGGAGCTTATCACAGGTGAAAAAAAGCAAGAAGGAAAAGAAGGATGAAAGGGAGGAGGAAGAAGACTAAAGACACATGATGGAGATGACAAGGAAGTTGGTCCTAGTGGTTTTCCTGGCTTATAAAGCCTTTAACCTTCCTGTACACAATGCACTTCTTTTAAACAAATAATTAAAAACCTGAAATAGAAGGCTGTGCAAATATTTTTTAAAACTAAGCCTTCGTTTAAGTGAAAAGGAGAGTTTTTTAAATTTCCTGGTGCTAATAACATTTAATAGTCCCACGTAACTACTTTTTAACAGTTAATTCTAAATTGCACTATCCCTACTTTGAAACATTCCATTTAGAACAACTACCCTTCCCGCTGCAGAAAAAATCTTAAAACACACATTTCCGGGTCCTTCTGGGTTTTGCCAGCTAAATTAGCTATAACTGAACAGAGAGAAGGTCCTTACACCTGAAGTCCTTTCTCAAATCCCAGCCAACTCAGCTGGGATGAAAACCGACGAGCGAAGTTCTCCTTCAGTTCCCTTAAAGATACTCTGGGCTAGCATCTGAAGACTGGCCAGTTAACTACAATACTGTTGATGAGTAAAATATGAAAACTGAAAGACAGCCTAAAGGGTTCAATTTAAAGGAACCTACAAGAGAACAAACTACCTCATAAACACAAGTGTTGGAGGAAAGACAGTGCAGAAGAGAATCAAACCAGAGCCACTAATTTCCAGGAGTTGGGACTGCACAAAATTCAGAGAGAGAATGATTCTCTAGACTTCTCCTTTGACTATGCTTTTTAATCCATCGTCTTGTAGCAAATGTGTAGCTGACCTAAAATTACAAACAGCTTCAGATCCCCACTGAGTGACCCCAGGCAAGTCTGGTTTTTTTGAGGGTCTCCCACAACGATCATGTCTGTAAAATGGCTTTAAACTTATTCTCTACAGTCCTACCTATTTTCTGAGTAAAATACATATAAGTAGAAGGCAAGAACTCTATAAATATTAGATATTACCATTGGATTTTAAGGTAGAATGGCAAAGTGTTCTGTGCAGTCCCTGGCATCTTCAATACTTCACTGAGGTTACACATCCTGACTTGTTTCCGCTGACACAGGCCTCCAAGATCTGCTGGACCAGTCCTATTTATCACCTCAGTCCAGCTAACTGGAAGGCCTAGCAGTGGTGCGGAATTCTCGGGGAAAGGCAGGGCGCTGGGATCAGGCCACCAGCCTGCTCTGAGCCCCCTGTCAAATCAATGCATCTCTCTGGCCCAGTTTTCTCGGCCTGCGTTTCCCCGCAGGGACAATCAGAAGGTGGCTGGCACCAGGATGGAGGCGCAGCGGACCAGGGCCCCGGCTCACCTGTGTCCTGCCTCCAGCTGCTGGCACAGCGCGGGCTCCAGCTCCAGCAGGCAGAAGTCACCGCCGCCGGCGCCGCTGGCCCCGGGGCCGAAGCCCAGGCAGTGCACCGCAGGCAGCAGCTCGGCCGCGTTCAGCTTGGCGATCTGCAGCGTCGCGTCCACTTCCTCTCGGGTCCTCTTCATCGCTGCGCGGGGTTGGAGGCCGTAGATTTAGCGCCAGTGAACCAAGCTCCCCGAGCGGCCGGGACCCTGTGAAACGCACACGAAATAGAATAGAGGCTGTTTCTAAAGCGCGCCAACCTGGCTGGAGGCGTGTTTCCGGGGCGGAGCGCGCCGCGGGTGCGTCCCCGGAAAGGTCCAAAAGCTTCGCGGGAGGCGAGCCCCGCAGTGGCCGGGTCACTCCAGGCTGAGCTGCGGCTGCTGGAAAGAAATCTGGCTTCCCCGGGGCCGTCTCTTCCTAGGAGCAGAGCTGCGCCCCAGTGGGGCGCCACTTGGAACCCTCACCCGCCCCTTCCGCTGCTCGCTCCGCCCCCCCTCCGGTTTTCCAAGCAATGCCCCCCTTTCCTCGCAGTCAAAATAGTCTCATCTTCTGCCAGTGGGGGTCCCAGTGATAAGCACTTTGCATACATAATGTCATGAACCCTTCACTACAGCCCTGTAAGGTGGGCCCTTAGTCATCTCTTTTTGCAAATACGGAAGCAAGCTCCTTCCCGTGGTTGCACAGCCAGGAGGTGGCAAAGTCTGATTCCAGCCCGGCCTAGGGCTCTAAAAGCATCCTGCCGGGTATTCACGCTGTGTCCATCCAGCTTTATCAGGTTCTACACCCCCAAGTGCTCTTCACACACACTGTATTCCAACCTACGAGTGCCCCTGCACTTCCCTACTTTCATGTTTATGTGGGTGTACTTTTTTTCTAATTTCAGCCATCATTTAAAAATTAGGCGAGTTTCCACTAACATTTTGATTTCTCTTTTTTAAAAACAATCAGGATATCTAGCAGCATGGGAGTCATATTTCTGCATGGCAACAGTGAGCTGGAGCCAACGGCTTCTGCATAGTTGTCTCCAGACCTGTGCCAGGCTCTCTCATTCTGGAAACGTATATCCTTCATTTCTGAGAAATTTTCTTCTATGATTTCCTTGATAACATCCCCTCCCCAAGCCCCCACGTTTTCTGTTCTATATTTCTGAAACTTATTAGTTGGGCTTTCTTATATAAAAATGAAAGTTTCAGTATCAAATATTTGGTTTTAGAAAGATCTTTCAGGTTGCAGATCCGAGGATAGTTCAGAAAGAAATGAGGCTTAAACCAATGAGAGCAGATAGAATGATATTTAAATAGACAAGGGCAGAACTAACTGGCAAGGTCTTGAACTGATTCCACGACACCAGACAAATAGGAGCAGTGAGAAATAAGAAATATTCAGAAAGTAGAATGGATGGACCTTGTTGACAATGTGGAGTGTGAGAAAGAGAGAAGAGTTGAGAATGACTACCAGAATTAACAGCCTGGGCGACTGAGAGAGTCTTCATCCCTGAAAAGATGTGAAAGTACTGTAGGACATCATTGGATTATTTGAAGCAGGGGAGTGATACAATCAGATTTAGATTTTTAAAAGATTATTTACTAAGACAAAAGGGTGACAATTTGATGAGGAATAGGACATTTACATAGTCTCAAAGTATCTACCTAAAAATTACTTATTAATTACAAAGGGAAAAAATAGTTAACTTCACCATGATAAACTTGGAACCTGCTGGAGGAGATTATTGAGAGGACGTGACCACAGGTTGACCCACGAGCTGGACCCAGGCAATTGAAGGCTCCTCACCCCCTCTCCTGTCCTTGGAATGTACATCTGCCCACTGTTCCCACAGTGGGAGCTGTTCCAAAGACGTAGCCTTGAGAGAGTGATGTTATTGAGACCATCTGGACAGTGTACATGACTGAACCCAGTTAAGGCCTCTATATAAACTTTTAAGATTCTGGCAGGCTAATGTGGAGATCTACTTCTCTTGCAGCCACTTAAGGCAAGACTCATATGTAAGTTTTCTTTCTTATTAAACCTGCCACCTACCAATCTGGAGTGGTCTGCCTCTTGCTTCCGTCTCTCCTTGCCCTCTGTATATGGGGGCCAATTTGCAAACCAACAGAGCATGTCACTTCAATTAGGTGATCAAGGCTAACATCACCAATATTGGAACAAGCCTTTTGATATTATGTACTGAGTTAATCCTGTCAAAAATGCATAACCTGAATCTAAACATAAAGAAAACATCAGGCAACCCAAATTGAAGGACATTCTATAAAATAACTGATATATACTTTTCAAAAATAGCAAGGCCATGAAGGAGAAGAAAACTGAGGAACTCTTCATATTAAAGGAAAGTAAAGAGATATGAGGGGGCCGGCGCGGTGGCTTAGCAGTTAAGTGCGTGCTCTCCACTACTGGTGGCCCGAGTTCAGATCCCGGGCGTGCACCAACGCACCGCTTCTCCGGCCATGCTGAGGCGGCGTCCCACATACAGCAACTAGAAGGATGTGCAACTATGACATACAACTATCTGCTGGGGCTTTG